GACAGCTGGAGCCCGGGAAGGGAAGTGTCCGGCCGGCGGCTGGGGTCCGGAGGCACGGGGGGCTGCCTGAAGCCGGTTGCGCTGGCTCGGGCAGCTTGGCTCTTAAACAGAGCCGAAGTCTGAGAGGGGAGGAGCAGAGCAGCCGCGGGAGGGGAAGTGCCCGGCCGGTATTTTTCCCGGACTTGTTCGGCTTTTTGGCAATTCCCCCCGGATGGGGTTTTGATTGCCGAAAAGCCGGACATGTCCGGGAAAAAACAGATGTATGGTAACCCTACCTAAATGCTCTGCTGAATCAGGGCCTCAATGAATGAAGTGGGATAAGATTAAGTTCCTACTTTACTGCAGATACCACTGTTGACTGAAGAGAAGTTTCTGCAAGGCTGAATTAATGAGACCACAGGGCAAGAATATATGCTGCAATTACTATTTTTGCAACAGTAAAGGTTAGATTTGTTTTAAGTGAGAGCTTTGAATTTGTATGAAGACCTTAAAATGGCAGGCTATTTTGATTTTTTTTGCACATACAATCTGATTTTGGGGAAATGTGTGCAGTGGGGGGAGGAGGATTCCCCCTGCATTTCAAAATCTCTCATAAAACTTGTCCCAAGAGTAGACTGAAAGCAACAGCCCCTGTGCCTGTCAGGCCAGGTATGGAGAACGTACAATGATATAACGAAGTAGGGCTTCATTTGGTTCTGCAAAAGCAAATAGGGAAAGCTTCAGCATAGAAAAAAAAAGTATTCTAGAGAAATGAATATCTAAAAAAAGATTTTTTTTATAATCTTTTTGCAACCTTATCCATACTTAATTACAAAACAAAAAGGATATTGTATATTTAAAATAATGTAATTTGTTCAAAACTCAAATAGCAAATTAAGGCACTTCTATGTTTTAATGCTTCAAGTACTTCACTGTGCATGGTGTAATAAGTTGCCTAGGTAGAACCACAACAGTGCTCTGTGTAAGCTTGAAAAGCATGTCTCTTTCACCAACAGAAGTTGATCCAATAAAAGATATTACCTCACCCACCTTGTCTGTCTAATATCCTGAGACCAACATGGCCACAACAACACTGCAAACAACAGTGCTTAAAAGCAGCTGATGCACTAACTTGCTCCACCTAGCTGCGGCCATTCATTTGAAGAAAGGGTGTGATGTCCGAGGCCCAGTAGGCTGACATCGATCTTTTTCCATCTAATTGAGGTTATATGTTATGTTTGGCTATCCATGTCATTTTTCAGTCAAATGTCCCTGGCTGGAGAGGTTACCAAACACAGGATTGAGCTTGGACCTGATTTCAGAGCAGAAGAGTGTCCCCCTCTATTTATTTTTCAGAAGGAGATCTTTAAGCATTGTTCTTTTCAGTAGCCAGAGTCTTTAGAATAACCAGAGCCATTGAGTTAAGATGATACTGATCTAGTAGAGGATGGGAAAGTACAGGAGAATGACTGAAAACTAGAAGAAGTTAACAAGAGAGTTATCCACACCTTGGAGGCAGAGACAATACCAGTCTTATGTTTGTTGGCCTGAGTTGTAGTGGTCTTCAGTAGAACCACTGTTTGAGTATTGCCATCTCTCAATTTGAGGTTTGTTTTCCAGTGGCTACCATTACAACATTGGTTTGCAAGGAAGCATTGGATATGGGCACAGTGGCTCTTATCTTTCAAGTTGAGTGGACAGTGCTCACCTCTCTATGCTCCAACGTGGCCTCATGACTGCAGAGACATTCCTCTCAGTCAACGGTGGAGATGCTTGCATGATGATATTTGACTCACACTTTGCCTCCCTGGAGGCATACAAGAAGCTCTGTTTCCTTCTCATGTTTCCTACAAATGCTCTAAGGTAGAAAAAATCCATTCTCAAGAAGTTTTCC